GTAATGTTACTTGATTTCATTTGGCTGTGCTGCAAGAATCCAGCCAATCAATTTACACATTGAAGATTATGGTTAAGCTTTTGTGCAACTACTGTGGTTGTTTTGCAGCTTATCACAATAACTAAAGCCAACTATGGCCTGTTGTCATAAAAATTATATGTTAAATGTTATAAAGCCACCTAGAGTTGGTTGATACACAGATGGGCAGCATACAAATCGAATATTTAACTATGGCTTCATTTTCGTTGCCATGTATTTTGAGAGGCAGGAAAGTCTACAGGGTAGTCTGGCTAGTTGCTAGTTCATTTAGTTCACACTGTCACGCTATCCTGGGTGCACCATGGAGATGAACTAGCTTCACATCCACAAATTAAATAAGTAAATAGGTGAAGTAAGCTAATACGGCTTGTTCAAGAAGCTATGATTTAAGAATTCCCAGACTTTGGAGGTTGCTACATACCATTATGGATGCATATTAATTAGAGTCCTATAAGTCAAGTGGCAACTGTAGGACCCAGAAGGATGGAGGATTGGAGGAGGTTAAGTTTCACATATGTGGAAAAAGTTTTACTCCTAAGATCTGTGGAGATTCTCAGTCATCCAGGTTGCCGTTGTCCCAAAGGTGCTTTTCCAAGAGGCAACTGGACTTTCTGGGTTGTTTTTTTTTTGAAGATGTTTCACTTCTCAACAGCTGGAGAAGCTTCTTTGGATGATACTTCCTGAGATTTCAGGACTTCGCCCCATCATATTCATTTTCTGATGGAGCACCAGGGCAACCTCTTTGCTGGCCTTAGGGACCATCTGGCCATCGAATACCTTCTGCGGGTCAAGTATTGAGCAGGACGTCTCTAAGAGGATCTCGCCACCTTAAAAATAAAAATAAAAAGGGGGGGGTCTCCGGTTAGGAGGCAAAGCTTGAGAAACGTATGCGAAGGGAAGTCCCGCCCAGAATCCCTGGATTGGTTATCGCAAAATCAGGACGCCCGAGTCCGGTGGGAATGAAGTGAAATTTAGTAGGTTATGAAAAAGGAAGGGCGGAGAGCCACCGATTTCGGCTTCGCGGCGGTCTTGGGGGAAGGGATAGGGGTTTATTAGTAAGAGACCGCAAAGGCGGGTGGAGAAAAAGCCGTGCCAGAAAAATCGGGTTTTCTTTGGAGAACAGGCGTATGTCTGGAGTTCAAAACTAAAAGGGGACGTGGGGTTTGTTGCGTGGGGAAGGCAAGGAGACCCCCCCTCCCGCCTCCAGGCACTTAAGAGAGCAGGAGCCGTTTGTATAGAAGCCAAAAGAAAGATTTATTGGAAATTATGCATAAGTAAGGATGGAGTGGAAATAAGGTTTTTCCCGGCAGGGTTACTTCGTTTTGAGAGCTGTCCGGTAAACAGAATTCCAGGCTAATCAACATTTATTTTCCAGAAAGGGAGAAAGATGAAAATTCACCTGTTGAATGTCTACATATTGCAGCCTTGTGGTGTGGAATTGATTTCTGGCAAATGTACCAAATTCTCACTTTATTTACTGTTAAGCAGGAGAGACCAAAATGATTTTCAATCAGTGTTAATTGCTTAATCCACTATGGAGTTTGTAAGCCACGATGTGTTAAGCTGTAATTTCTGAGTGCACACACTGCACTAAATCAACCCACGCTAGTTACATAATGACCTAGCTTGTTGCCTAAACCAAGGCAGGGAAGCTAGCTACTTGGATTGTGCTACCTCTTGTAATCATATCTGGTTCATATGTAAGTATCTTTTTGTGTTTCTGTGCCTCTTAGTTGACACTTTATGGTGTGTATGAAACCTGCTTTGTTACTCAATGGTCTAAATGTCCGAGATAAGTATGATGGGGCAATTCTGAACATTCTTGGTAGCAAAGATTCAGTCATATGGAACTCTTACATTCCCTACAATCTGGAAGATGATTGGCTGTGGAAGATTAAGAAGTACTCACTCTAAGGTGGCCAAACAGGGTAGAAATCACAAGGATTTCTTATACCTGCAAGTAGCTAGGAAGTCATACAAGCCTCACCAGGCTGTGAAGACCAGGAATATCCTCTCCAATAACTAATCAAAGGTTAACATTCCTTATATTTTAGGTAGCCATGAGACAATCCACGACCGCTTTCAGAATTATTTCCTTACCTAAACAGAAAAAATTGAATTGCTATGTACAGAAAAGAACAAAAAGTAATGGGAGTGGGAGTGACTTCTGATTTCCTGCTGGCTTCCCCAATGACTTCGCTTGTGGGGAGCTGGCAGCGAGTGCAAGAAATCCTATTACATTACTGCAACGGACCATTGCAATATAGCAACCACCAGTTTTGCAAAAACAACTGATGTGAAGATCCTTTAAATTTCAGTTGCATGAGTCCTGGATTGTGTATGCATTTTTTAAGTTAGTGGATTTGAGGAACCTTGATTTAAAAACCTTTGTACTCTGATGCACTAATTGGGCTTATTGAAGGTTACAAACAGACAGGTTTCGTGGTATATAGATATCCTGTTCCTTACAGAAGCGTGTTGTTGCTTCAGATTTTCATATGCTGCTTCTAAAATGTTATTATTAATCCTGCGTAACTTCTCTGAAATGTTGCACAAAGGAGTTTCTATGAGGATTCAGTGGTTAGTAGACAGGCTTCTGTTTATGCTGTTCCAAACAAGATACATTCACCGCATGGAATCATATTAACCGTTGCAGAGAATGGCTCTAGATTGACCTGCTAGAATTTTACTGGAAAGAAACTTTAATTGAGAGGCATTAACAAGAAACTAAACCAAACCAAACCAAACTAATCTCAAAACCCCTGTGGAGTGAAGGGGGGAGATGGTGTTTTTTTTTAACTCCCTCATTAGTCTACCAGCTCACTCCCAGCTGCATTTTACTGCATGTATAAATCAAGGATATTTGTAGGAAAATGGGAAAAAAATTCCTGTATTTAGGTTTTATAACAAAGGCAGAAGTACTGAAGAGGGAAAACGGGCTTGGCTGCTATACAAAGGGAAAAGATTTGGGCATCTTAGTAGGTTGAAAGCTAAGCAAGAGCCAACAGTGTAGCTAGTAAAGTTATTGCAATTAGATTACATCACCAAAAACACTGATCAGATCCTGAGAAATAATTGCTTTACTCTGTCCTGTGTTGCTCAAGTGCCCCATTGTAAGAAGGGTTTTGATAAACTGGACAATTACCATAAGAGAGTGAGTATTGGTAAATAAAAATGACCTCAAAAGAAGATCTAATCCTACAGAGGAAAACAAAAAGAAGCAGAAAGCGAGATATATAACTAACCACAGAACATAGGTGGGCTGCCTGTGGTTCATAGGCTACCTGCAAGCCCAGCAGACAACCAGCATCTTCCTAAAGAGGCCAACATTTTTTGACTCCATCTGGACCTTCACTGCCTTAGCATCACATCCCTGCAGCTTTTAGGAGCCATAAAAAAGGGTAAAAATAGCCCAGTGATGACCACGATGGAAAAGTCAAGCCCTCTGTTCTACAGAGGAAGTCAAGATCTGTGGGCAAAATGCAGGGAAGCAGATTTTAGTTAAACAGGAGGAAAAATTTCCTCATCATAAAAGTTGCTTGGTTGTGGAATCTACCACTTTGGTTGGTGGCCAGCTGAACTATGATGAGATGCTCCGGCTGAGGATGCACAACGTCTTCCAATTCTGATTTAATCTGCAATGATTTGTTGGCACTTTACAAGTTACAACTGAGAAGTAGAGAGAAACAGGAGGTCTGGATTTTTCTGGAAGGAAGAAGTTTCCAGCAGGTTAGATTTAGCTTGCCAACATATTTACTTGGCACAGAACCTATGCCTTTAACATCTTCTCAGAAGATGAGCTCTTGGATATCTCCCAGTTTTTACAGTTATTCAAAAAAACACAAAGCAAATTTACGTTGGGTTTGTTTGACAACCTTGATGGTGGTGGTGGGTGGGAGCTGAACATTTGGCTTTTGTGTTTTCTGTGACTTAACTGATGGCCCATAAGAATGTAGATCAGAGGTGTCCAACCTTGGCAACTTTAAGACTTGTGGACTTCAGCTCCCAGAATTCCCCAGCCAGCATGGCTAACTGAGGAATTCTGGAAGTTGAAGTCCACAAATCTTAAAGTTGCCAAGGTTGGACACCCTTGATGTAGATGGATCAATAATTTAGATCCAGATCCCGATAGCAGAAATTTTGGTTGTCTGATGAGAAAGGAATATCTGCATGCTTTTCTATGTCCTAAGAGACTTAAAGCCTCATCTGTTGAATTACTGTAAGTTATACGGCTCTCTTCAGAATAAAAGATGGTACCTCTTTAAATTGGAGACTGACCACACTCAGCTTTCTGGATGACGGAACTCCAGTTTCCATCAGCCTTAGAATGTATGTGTGGGGCAGATTCTGAGACTTGTCAAAGGGCATGTGGAGGACTGCAAGTAGCCCTCTTCTGCTATAAATGAACAGCAGATGACTCTCGAATGGAGGAAAACTCCCCATCTGAAGGGTGAGCTACAATCAAGAGTTCTGGGACCTCTAGTAGTTACCAGAGAATTAAAACGGGAGGGGAGAGTCAGATGATTGGATTCTTTTGAAAAGCAGAGCTTGGCTGGTATGGAGCCTTGGTTCAATAGACCAAGACTGAAGAATGCCTTGTTTTCCATTCCAGGACTGGAGAACAAAATAATAATAATTCTATGTGAAAACCCACAACATTCTTTTCCAGTAACAACATCAGTGGGAAAACAACATGTAGAATAATGTTACAGAAAGATAGTAGCAGTGCATATTTCTTCTGAGTCTGGATTTTACTTATTATTTTCTCTCTGTATGTATGTGTGGAATGCAGAGAGAACTGTGAACACATGTGACCTTAATTTCATTGTGCTGGTGTTCTTCTCTTTTCAAAGGGCAAAGTCTCTTTTTGTGAATTTCTGTCAATAAAAGCAAGGGTTTTTCCTCTGTACAGCCTGTGCTAGAAAGAGGAGTGGCACAAAAGGAGGCTGGAAGATGAGAAGAGAAAAACAGATTAGGTGGAGTTGACATAGCCGGGAGGCCAGCAGTAGATTTTGAAGAAGCAAGGAAGGGAAACTTTGGAATTGCATCCTTCCTCTTTCCCATTAATTCCATCAAGAAGGTTTTCCCCCTTCCAGGGACAGATTTGAAAGGGTGTTTGGGCTTCTGTTTTTACTTCCTTTGTGTCTCTTTCCTCCTTCCACAGAAACACAATGGCCAAACGGATTGTCGAGTCTATTCAGTATGGAGGAATCACATTTCCCAGCATCGTGCACAGTGAAGAGAGCATTCGCTATGCCCACCGGAGTTTTCAAGTGCGGGATAGTGATGTCTTCAATGTTACATACCCCAAATCTGGTGAGCCACACTAGTACCTATCCCCTGCTTCCCTGGAATTTCGGGATGAAGAAAATATATTAATGTATACTGTCATGGTTTGCTTTGACTCACTTTTCTCTAGTCTAGAGTATCTGTCAAGTATATGTGTATATCTTTAGAAGTTGTGTGGACCGATAAAATTATAATAGCTAGAACTTTTCCAGAAAAATTACCAAAACTAGCAGTGTTTTAAGTGCGTGAAATCAAAATCCTAAAAGCATAAATGCCTTGTTGGAAAATTAAAACAACAACAACAACAAATGATTTTGGATGCATGCCAGGACTATTTGCAGTTGTGCCTGTTGGTGAAAGGGTTGTCTTAAAACTACGAGACAGAAAGAGGCACTTAAAAATTGTGCAGTAAATTGCGTCCCCTGTCTGTCCATCCAATTTTTTTTGTCCATCGAAACTAGTGACCTAGTGAATAGAAGTGCATGTATGTGCGGAAACCCAAAATACTATGATAAAACAATACCTGGGATTTTGCTTAATGCTATGGTTCCACTGGATCATTTCAGATCCTAAACCTAAATTTCTTCCACAGCTCCTACAAAAAGCTTTGGTAGATACCTTCAGTGATGCCTTGCAGATTCAGGGTAAGGCTGAAGTGTAGGATGTTCTTGTCTTGTTTTCAGGAACAACTTGGATGCAAGAAATTCTTACTTTAATTTATAGCAATGGAGATCCCACATTCTCACAGTCAACCCCTTGTTGGGAACGAGTGCCCTGGGTTGAACACAATTCAGCAAAGCAATACTTGGAGAATCGACCCTCCCCGCGCCTCATTACCTCTCATTTGCCTGCAACAATCTTTCCAGAAAAGTTCTTCACTTCACAAGCTAAGGTGATTCCATTTGTACCTAGGAGTATGTATACATATAAAGAAAATGTTGATTCATTAAACAAGCCATAGATCGTTAATAGTGAATTCAATTGTAGGATGCAATGTGGGTTGGTCACCAGGACCAGAGGTTTAATCTTCTTGGCTTTTGGACTCATGATGGAGCCCTATCTACACATTTTGGACAGTCCTGGGGATGGGCTCCAGGAGGAGTCCAAAAGCTAAGAAGATTAAACCTCTGGTCCTGGTGACCAACCCACATTGTATCCTACAATCTTATCCTGAGACATGTATATTTGCCTTCGTTTATAAATTCAGTTGTGTCTTCAGTAAGGTACAATTGTAGTTTACAATCATGATGGCTAACACACTTTGCCAAAATCAAAGAAAACCCATTATGAATTAGTATGATGGGTGAATCTTAATTACCTTGTGTGTTAGAAAGCATGCTCTCATTGTTCACTGCTAAGAAATCAGTCAGCAGTCAGAGATGGGGCTTTCTGATAACTGGTAAGAGAAGTTGACATTTCCTCCTGGCCTCTCCAAGTTTTTACTTTGGGAAGAAACTATGGGAACCATTGAGACAAAGCCATTGCAATGCTTGGCAAACTTTCTCTTCCAGGCTATTTACACTGTCCGTGACCCCAAGGACGTCTGTGTATCGCTCTATCATTATACCAAGATGAGTTCATTTCTGGAGCATAGAGAAGATTTTGGAGAATTCATTGAGCTGTTTTCAACAGGAAAAAGTATGTGGGTAGAGGCTGGAAATTTATTCATGATTTGTTTACCAAAGTCAGCAGAATCCCTAGTAGAAAGAGTCAGTGTCAGAAGTTCCTCATTGACTGCAATCTTCCCCCTATTATCATTCTTGATGATTATCATCTTTCCCCGTCACCTTTACTATCTTAAGAGCCATGGTGGTGCGGTGGTTAAAATGCAGTAGTACTGCAGGCTAACTCACTGCTCACTCCAGGAGTTCGATTCTGAGTAGCTCAAGGTTGACTCACCCTTCCATCCTTCCGAGGTTGGTAAAACGAGGACCCAGGTTGTTTGGGGGAGGGGTGGGGCAATATGTTGACTCTGTAAACCTCTTAGAGCACTGTGAAGTGATATATAAGTCTAAATGCTAGTGCTAGTGCTATCTGAGACGGTTTATTTTGGATAGACAGCCGAGGTCCCAGGTTAATCCTGAACCCCTGAAGTTACCACCAAACATACATACATACATACATACATACATAAACAAACAAACAAACAAATAAATAAATAAATAAAAACACAATTCTCCAGAATTTATGGTGCTATTTCCCTGCATTTTGAGGTAGGAAATACATAAGAAATAATCTATAGTCTGAGTCTTAGGCAGTCTAACAGTATAGAAATAAATTAACCTGTTTTAAAAATGCTAACAAATCAACCCCAGATCCAGAAAGAAACATGCCATTTCAGCTATGGCCTTTGGGGTTCTACTCATTTTGTATTACTTCTTAGATTCATCCTTAACCACCAACATCTTAGCCATCCATCCCTCTCTTCCCTTTCATTATAACCTCTTTGCTGTCTTCATTCTTTTTGTAATGAATCATGAGTTGCTTTTGCTATTTTTTGTCATAACAATTGACCTGCTTTTAACTGCCTCACAACTCACAACATTGACCTCTGGCATGTGTAAGATGCAACTGGTAAATCTGATTGCTTCTTTCTCAGTTCGGTTGGGTCATGTTTTGTCTGACCTGGAACCAATTAAATTATGCCCTCTGATGAAGCAAAATGCCAATCCTTTGTAGAATCCCCTTGTGTGTCAAATGTCTGTGGGTGTCAAGTCCACACTAACGATCTGCTTAGTCTGTTAGATGATAACAAATGGATTCTGTCAGGTGAACTTTTAGCTCCTTGCTGTCTCCATAGCATTCTTCCCTTTGGCTGAGATGCTTGTAAGACACGAGTGGGCAATATGGTCCAGTTGTCTTGGATTTTGGTTCCTTGTTGCCTAGCCAGCATGGCCTGTGGCAAGGGATTGTGGGAATTAAAATCCAGAACATCTGGAGGTACAATACCACCCTCGTTTTGCTATGAACATTTGCTTAGAAATCAGTTTTGCTGGGATCAGTGGAATTCACTATTAGTGCATATAGGTTTCCAATTCCAGAATTATTTTGCTTACTATATTAAAATCTATGCAGCTACAAAAATATAAAATAAAAATGCTTTCCTTTTTATTTGCTTTCCCAGTTCTCTTTGGTACCTGGTTTGATCATGTTAAAAGTTGGCTGGCCTACAAGAATGAGAAAAAGTTTCTCCTTCTGGTCTATGATGAATTGCTAAAGGTAGATGTCTGCCTACCTATCATCTATCTAGATCTATTTTTATCTGTCTGTCTATCTATCTATCTATCTATCTATCTATCTATCTATCTATCTATCTATCTATCTATCATCTATCTACCTATCTATTATTTTCATTCCTTGTTGCCCCACTCCAATTCATAAGTCATTGTGTCCTAGAGGTCCTAACTTAGTGATCTAGCTTTTCCTCATGATCTTCTACCTTTAGGATCTACGTGGCAGTGTTCTTCGCATCTGTGAATTCCTAGGCAAGAATTTGGATTCTACTATGGTTGACTCAGTGGTGGAAAATGCTTCTTTTGAGGTGATGAAGAACAACAAGATGGTGAATTATACTCTGGTTCCTGAAAATGTGCTGGATCAAAAGATTAGCCCTTTCTTCAGGAAAGGTAAAAATCAAAACGCGTTGAAAAAAATCTACAGTTCAATGAATATCCAAAAGTTGGTGCAGTAAAACACGTAGTGCCTTACCTTTTTCCTTCCCTTTCTTTGCAGGGGTTTCTGGGGACTGGAAAACTCACTTTACTGAAGAGCAGAGTGCTGCTTTCTACCAGCTCTACCAGGAAAATATGAATGGACTAGAGACCAAATTTCCATGGGTTGAATTCAGTGTTGAAAAACATCAGGAAATTTGAGATTTTGGAGGGCAGGGGAGATTTCCGCGATCCAAAAATGCCAAACATGAATTAAAATATTTCATTCAAAATAGGTAGTCCTCAAATTATGCCTGCGATCTTGATCAGGATTGCTGTCAGTAAAAAATACAATCATAAAGCATGACATCACACAACCACATCACTTAGTGACAGCAATCCAGACCTAGTTGTTGTTGTAGCCCAAGATATGCAAGTTATTATGTGTGAGCAGAACACGCCCCATGGAAGGAATGAACAGATGCCACGGGGGTGGGGGTGGGAGGGAGAGGCCCTGAAAAACCTGACGCAGGCCATGTGGGTGTGGTGGCCGCAGGCATCGTGTGGGGACACAGGAAGGCCAAAGAAAGAGGGTATGGGCTGCAGGCGTGTGCATATCGTGTGTGTCAGTTCAGGGGCTATGGAAAGGTGGCATGGGGAATGCGAGTATGTGTGAACACAGGGAAGCTGGAGAAGCGGGGGCAGGTTATGTGTGATTGTGGGGAAGTCGTGGAAAGAGGGCAGGTGTAGATGAGCATGCTGAGCTGGAAGGTGAAGTCAAACATATCATCTGTTTGGGGTCATTGCGCAACCACAAGAAACCCAAGTCCAGCCCTCCCCTTGAATTCCATTGACCCATATCTAGCACCATTTTTTTATCATTAGTTGATCAGATTCTTTTGTGTTGGTAGCGGGGATGGGATTCAAATTTTTTAACAACTGGTTCTGTGGGCATGGCTTAGTTGGTGGGCGTGGCTTGGTGATCTTGTGGGTGTGGGTGTGGCCAACTCAATATCACTCACATTGAGGCACGCATCTTCTCACCTGGCCTCTCATGACTGTGGGGATGCTGCAACAGTCGTAAGTGTGTAGAATGGTCATAATGGTCACTTTTTTCAGTGCCATTGTAGCTTTGAATGGTCACTCCACACAAGCAAAATACCAGCAAAGGAGGGGAAAAAACCTCCAGAGAAATTCCAGAGACAGGAAGTCTAGTCCTGCCAAGAATGTAATAAGGGCTAGTGGAGAGGCAGTTTCTGTAAGCAAGACCAGAATGTTTCCTTCCTGCCTTCCTTACAGGATTAGGCCAGTAATTTCTTCTACCAACTGGTTCTCCGAACTGCTTAGAATGTTAACAACCAGCTCTAGCGAATAGGTGCGAACTGGTAGAATCCCACCCCTGGTTGGGAGCAACAATAAACTTTTTAGTCTTTTGAGCTCAGTGTGGGCTTTTGTTTATTTGCACCTGACAGTACAGAGCATGTGTGAATGAAAGGGGAAGGAGGATGCAATTGTGTGCGCAAGTGAAGAAAGTGGGGGGCAGACCACCCTGAGCGATATGCAGTCTTTCTCACCAGATTCCCCATTGACTTTGCTTCTGTGAAGCCAGCAGGGAAGGTCCACAAATGTTGATTGTATGATTGTGGGCTGCTGCAACTGGTAGTATGGTATGTGTGAACTGGTTGCAGGCTCCCAAATTCACGTGACTGGGGCTGGAGGTTTTAATATCAGTTATACTTACATCCCTTCGTTCAATGACTTTGTAACTCTAAACAGTCACTGAATGATTGTTAGGGCTGCCTGCAGGCCCTACTCATATTAACTACACCGTAGGAATGCCAAGTCTTTGCAATGTTTGAATTTCTGGGTAACTTTTGTGCCTTTAAGAGTCTAACATACTGTGAAAACAGTAGAAAAGAGAAAAGGTAGATTTTTTTTCTGAACTAAGCAATCCAAAGTGGTGGCATTCTATATTTGCTTGGTGCTTCATAAGCAGCAAGAAGAAGAAGAAATTTGTCTAGAAAAAGAGTTACATTTAGATTTTTCTTTATATAGACCACTCACATCCTGGACATAAACTGTATCCACTCCTACCCTCAAAATGAGGCTGTAGAGCACACCAGAACAATTAGACACAAGGACAGTTTTTCCCCGAATGCCATCACTCTGCTAAACAAATAATTCCCTCAACTGTCCAACTATTTACCAAGTCTGCACTACTATTACTATTAATGTTCTCATCACTCCTTATCACACATTCCCTCCCACTTGTGACTGTATAACTGTAACTTTGTTGCTTATATCCTTACAAGTTATATTGGCTGTTTCCTAGTATGATTTGATTGCTTGTTGTACCCTTTGACTATTATTAAGTGTTATACCTCATCATTCTTGACTCTTGGTGAATGAATCTTTTCTTTTATATGCACACTGAGAGCATTTGCACCAAGACAAATTCCTTGTGTGTCCAGTCACACTTGGCCAATAAAATTATTCTGTTCTATGCTATTTTCTTCATGGAGGGATTTTTAAAAATCATGGAATAAATATAAACCAAAAGTTTTATTTTGTTGTTCCGTGCCTCCTTTCTTCTCCCACAAAACATTTATTATATTTTTATCAGTGTTGGCCCTATTGTCGGTGTTATAGAAAGCAATGGCAATTAAAATAATAAGAGCTACCATAACTGACCACCAGATGGTGATGCTGATTTAAACATCAGGTGGGAACAATGGGAGTCTATTTCGCATAAACACAGATTAAATTTGGATTGTCTTTCACTAGCATTTAAGCATCAGGAGTTAAAGTGAGGGTGTAAGGCCCAGTTATTTGGGATCCCAAGAGCAACAGGTAATTCAATAACATTTGAATTGGGGCCTACTAAATTAATGTTCTTATTTTTTAAAAAAAATTTTTTTTGATCAGGAGTAGATTGCTGGCAATATCTGGTTATACATCACATTTTTTCCTCTACAAATATGTTATCTCCTGTGACTGACATTGCTTTTATTGTCAGTAATGAGGTACTTCCTAACTGAAATGACATCATGGCATTTTTTTAAAATTAACACCTGGAAAAGAGACTGCTCATACAAGGCAGCTCTTCCTATTTACTCTTGTGAGCTGTGAGATAGCAAAATTCCAACTCTAACCCCAATTAGATAATAATTTATCTAGTTTGTCTTAGCAAAAACTCAATCTCTGTTAGAAACTTAATCCTCACTAATACAGGTAGCCCTCAACTTACACCATGACTAAGCCCATAATTATGGCCTTAAGTCATGCTGGTCATTAAGCAGGTCAACATGTGACCGACCTGGTTTTATGGCATTTTTCTGCGGCATTCACCAAGTGAACCCCCTTGTCTGCAGTGAGCATTTTTGGGCGAAATTCTGAAGTAAATGCCAATTTCTGGCAAAAAAAGTCAGAGATTGTGGTCCTGTGACTGCAGGACACTGCAGGAAACAAGAAGTAATGGATGGATGATTATCAAAGAGGGATCCTCTTAAGGAGAATTAAGAAGAAATTCCCTGACAGTGAGAACAATTAATGTGGAACTTTCAGAAGTTGTGGGTGCTCCATAATTGGAGGTTTTTAAGAACAGATTGGACACTATTTGTCAAGAAAGGAGGGAGTTGAATGACTTTCAAAGTCTCTTCCAACTCTCTTATTCTATACTAGCTCAATATCTGTGCTTCGCTATGAAACTATGTGGTTGGGCTTAATATTTTGGGAGGAAAATAAGGAAAAGACAACATCTATCAGTATTCATCTGGCTAGTGTCCTGTTAGTGTGTGAGAGAGTTGAGGGCTGTTTGGAAACTGAAACATGGCAACTGAAACAGTATTTGCTGTGTGAGCAAGGAGACAGCAAGGAGCCTGGGTGTGGCTTAGCTCAACTGTTCTGTACTAAAGCTGCTTTCTGCTGTAAAACGGAAACTGTTCTCCTCTGCTTGTGTTTTGCAATTGGAACATATTTCTTTTCAGGTGGGGAGGGGGAGTAGAACTCCTTAGCATCAGAGCATGTTAATCATAATATACGAAATACTAATGCTCTGGTGGTCGTTTTGAAAAATCCTTTCTTAGTGAGCACTTAGAAGCCAAGAGGAATATATGTGCCAAATCTCAAGTTTGTAGGCTTTATGATTCTGGAGATTTTGTGATGATGCATGAGTGATATTTCACTTTTATATATATAGATTCTAAATGCCCGTAAATGCAGGCTGATCTCTGAGCACCCAAAATGCAGTCATGTAACCATGGGGAGGAGGCTCCTAGCTGCTGGTACTTTGAATCTGGGTGGTGAGTACTTTTTTGGGGGGGGGCAGGGGGGGCTGTCATAATTTTGAACTTAAAAGTTATAAGTGAAGGGCTACCTGTATGTAATCTTCCCTTGCTGATGCCTAAACTAAGCAATTTAAAGGGGGGAAAGAGAGGTTAAAGGAATACAAAATTTGCTCAACAAAAGCAGCCACTTTGTGAGTCAGATGTCCCAAAAGTACCTTTTCAAAGGGCGACTGGGCTTTCTGGTTTTCCTTTGGAGATGTTTTGCTTCTCATCCTAGAAGCTTCTTCATCTCTGGCTGGATGGTGGGAAATGGAAAGATTTGTACTCCTTGCAGACAGCTGGTCATTCGTATTCCTTTTAGGAAGTCGTTCAAGCCACCTGGAGGTTTATCTGTGTCAGTAGGTCAGTAGGTGTTGCAAGAAATCAATGACTTTTTGCTGGTAACTGCTGGTGGGATCTCTCTTCAAAGCCTCATACATAGTAATGTCCTGCAGAAGATTGTCCACCTTGGCTTTGTAGTTATCTGTGTTCAGGATGACCGTGCATCTTCCTTTATTTGGGTCTTTTCCTAGGGATGTCACTGCTCTCCTTTCTTGAATTGTGGGGTTGGAAGGAGGTGTTTGTGGCACTGGTCAACCATGCGCTGGGTAACTGAGAATCTCCATAGACATTTGTGAGTCACATCTACCTAGAGGTAGCCCTTGACTTACAACCACTATTGAGCCCAAAATTTCTGTTGTTGTTAATTGAATTGTGCCCCATTTTACAGCCTTTTTGCCACAGTTATTAAGCGAATCACTGCTTGTTAAGTGAATCCATGCAGTTGTTAAGCGAATCTGGCTTCCGTCATTGACTTTGCTTGGTGGAAGCTGGCTGGAAAGGTTGCAAATGGTGGTCACATGGCCCTTTGACAGCACGACTCTCATAAATATATGCCAGTTGTCAAGTGCCTGAATTTTGATCATGTGACCATGGGGATGCTGCAAAGGTTGTAAGTGTGAAAAATGGTCATAAGTCACTGTTTTCAATGCTGTTGTAACTTTGAACTGCCTCACCTCAACCTGACACGTATATGGTGTAATGAGGGAGAGAATCTTCAATATTCTTACTATGCTAATAAATCTTCATGTAAGCATCATGTACATCTTCCCTAGTGTTCCTCTGCTTTAATATCTGACCTGTAGCTTCACTAGATGTCAACAGTCAACTAAGGATTGATCTGCAGGTCTTATTATAATTGCAGCACCAAGATGCCCCACCAATGGTTTTTACAGCGCTATTGTCTCATCTGCAGCTCACCACAGTCTAAGACAGGAATGTCAAACACGTTGTCATGGCGGTGTCATGTGATGTATCAGGAATTTTTCTCACCTTTGCTAAACCAGGTGTGGGCGTGGCCAGCACGTGACGCATCCAGCCTGCAGGCTGGGAGTTTAACAGCCCTGGTCTAAACGTATCTTTAGATGTCCCAGTTTTAATGTAGTGTTTTCCATCCTCGCTCGACAGGCAGTCCTGAGAACACACGGCTGATAATCCAATCAGCTTCTGTTGGTTGGTTTGTTGGCTGAGGCAATTGGGAGGACACCTGGTCAATGCCTCCTGTGACCATTTTGGCCAGGG